ATTTCTTGAATAATGGCCTTTTTCCTGTAATCCCAATTTAGTGCCCATGATGGACAGTAGCCATACAACTGCCGGGTCGCATATTTATCACAAAGAACATTATAGCACATGACAGAAAACAAGGCTGTAGGAAAGATAACTTTACTTATTCAACACGTGGCAGAAATAAAGCACACAGTTATTTTCAATAGTCTTCACTTAAATGCCGTTTGACTTTATTGATTCCATATATTCAATAAAGTCGAATATAAATACAGTCAAATGATGAGGAAAGGCATAAACATGAACAAACTATGAAATGATGTACTACTTGCCACAGAGGTATGAACAAAAGGTTCCTAAGGTAAGACTAAGATCTCGAGCTCTCAGCCTCTAAGACCAGGGCTCCTCATTTTTGTGCTCCTTCTGTTAATGTAGAATGTGGAAATCTGACAGTTATTTTTCTTAATAGACATGTCTAGTTTTCTTCTATAGAGCAATGATTATTAATCCACAAAGGGAGGAAAGGGGTATCACAGACCAAATCTTATTACAAGTTCCCAAATTATTTTATTTTTAAAAAATGTTTTTATTGAATTTTGGAGAGAGAGTAAGGGAGAGTGATAGACAGAAACACCGATGAGAGAGAGACATCATCGACTGGCTGGGGATCAACCCTGCAACCCAGGCCTGTGCCCTGACAGGGAATCAAACCAGCAACCTCTTAGTTCATGGGCTGACGCTCAACCACTGAGCCCATGGGCTGAGCCCAAATTATTTTCATTCAATTTAAGTTAAAAGGAAATCAGAGTTCATTAATTCAATTTCACTCTCAAGTAAGTTTTGGCTATCTTTCAATTTTGAAGTATCAATTACATTTGGAACATACTAGGGTTTAGAAACTTCCAATATAAAAAGATTTTTGTGCCGAAACCGGTTTGGCTGTGGATAGAGCGTCAGCCTGCAGACTGAGGGGTCCCAGGTTCGATTCCGATCAAGGGCATATACCTGGGTTGCAGGCACATCTCTAGTGGGAGAAGTGCAGGAGGCAGCTGATCAATGTTTCTCATTGATGTTTCTAACTCTCTATCTCTCTCCCTTCCTCTCTGTAAAAAATCAATAAAATATATTTAAAAAAAAGATTTTTGTATATTCATTATAACTGAATTTGATCAATACTTTATCAGAAGGGTTTCTTAACAGTAGCACTACTGACCCTGTGAATAAATTCTCATTGTGGGGCGCTGTGCATTGCAAGATACTTAGTAGCATCTCTGAGATGCCAGTAGCACTTCCCCAGTGTGACAACCAAAAAATGCTTCCAGATAATTGCCAAGTGGACGCTGGGGAATAAAATCACCTCTGGCCGAGGAACACTGTTGTATAGCATACTTTCTATAGGGTGACAGAGAGGCCAGGTGAGCAAGAATTAAATCTTTATTATTAACTCCCAGACCAGATTAAGTATAAGCACTCTACTGTAACACTGCCTATAATCTAATATTGTCAGGTTTATAAATATCAAATAAAAATAAGCGTTAAAAAATAAGGCTACCAACCAGTTGGTCTTGTTCTGTCTGGTTCTTGTAACATAATCCAAGACCTTGGAGGTGGTTGTTCTGTTGAAACTAGTAGAATATTAAACACAAAATTAAGCAATATTCTTACATGTCTTCCTAAAAAAATGGTTTAAATAAATGACCACTTACTTCTTTTTGCAGTACCTGCCAAATTATCAAGCAAGTAGTTAAGTAGCCTTTTTGTTCCATCTGGTTCCTGATAGAGGTTCAATATATCCAGGGTAAGTGGATTTCCTGGAAATATTTTTAAAATAGATAAAATAAAATCAAGTCAAGTACTAAAATATTTTAAAATGGAAAAACATACCTAAATTATCAGGTCATCTATAACAATGCATATAGTTACTAGTAACATACCAAACCAGAAAAAAAAAATATTTTTTTACGTGAAGAGTAGAAATCATTTACACCATCTTCTACAGAGGTATCCAAAACTTATTATTAATGGATGATGCCAATGTAGAAGACACCTCATAGTGCCCTGCCTTATCAATACTTTCATAATCTGAAGCAAGTGAAAATGGATTGGGAAAGAGCGTGGAGGACTGGGTAAGGGAAAATAATAGCCAATATAATAACAAGAAATTTCCTAAAAACATATGTAGTCTGGCCCCTAGATTTAAAAAAAATCCTACTGAATAAAGTAACAAGATAAGGCAGACTTGGTTTAAGATTGTCACTAAAGAAGGGGAAAAAACCCAGGGCTGTGAGCCATCCATAAATGCAACAACTATTTCTTACGTGGCACAAATGAAAACAAAAGCAAGAGTCTCAATCCTCTCAGAGGGACTTCTTACGCACATAGGAGGTTAGTAAACATTAAAACTATTTAAGATGAAATGCCCTGCTCTTGAGATAGTCAAGTATCCTTCATAACAGCTGAGTTAATCCCTGTTATAGAAGTTCCCAAATTATTTTTGACATTAACTAACATATAAGATCTCTTTAATTTTAATATTCTAGGATTCTAATAATTATAACAGTAAAAATGTGCTCCTATAAGTGTAGAGTATGTCTTTGCAGGAGGACAAGTTACAGCAGTATCATATGTGTACAGTCCTTGATAGAGACCAAAGCTCTGAAATTTTTAGTCACAATCCTCTGAGACAGGTATAGTCATAACCTGAGAGCTGCTATAACCACTTGTTAAAGAAAGCTTGAGAAAATGAAGTCAACTAAAAACGTCTTAGTACCAGGTAAGCAGCTCATTATAACTACACCAAGAATAATGTTATCTTTTTACTACTTTCTAATGCAAAATATTTAGAGGCAACTACTGACTACTTATAACTAAGTGATTCTCCCTTCTAAGATCTTTCTTAATAAATTAAAAACCACCCCCACACAGCATCTGTATGTGACTCTAATAAATGCAGATGAAGCCAAATGGTGTGTTTCCCCCAGTGAATGCTTGCTTTTTGGAATTCATTTAAATGTCAAATTAATCTGCTCTTCATTGCCTGGAAAAGTAATACAGGGTCTTCCCCCCCTCCCAAATGTATATACAATGTCTGTAGATTCTATTACATTTTGAAAAAGAAATGTATGTTAATAAACACTGCCTTTATAATTATTCAAAGTGTGTATACATTTTTGGGGGACACCCTATATATAAGGGTTGGCAAAAGTAGGTGTACAGTCATAATACAAAAATTAATAAATAATACAAGAATAAACTATTTTGCATACTCACAACTGTAAACCTACTTTTGCCCACCCATGTACACAGGGTCACGTTAAGAACAACACAATTCTGAAATTAAAACATGTTCTTGACGTGAATAAAAGAAGTCGCTTCTGGAAAGTAGCCATACTTTCCCCTATTCTTCCTGTTAAGCACAAATAAAATGCCTGTGTCTTATGTATAAACAAACATAAGACTGAAATGTGGTGAGAAGGCAGAACGGTAGAGAACCCGGACCTAAGAAACATTTAGTGGTGAACTCCATGGGATTAATTTTTGCCCCATATATCCCAAATGTGGAACTGAGGAAGCCAGCAACACAGAAACACCATCGTGTGCAGAAAGAAAAAAAAATCCCAACAAAAGCCAAAGGACCAGGAAAGCACAGCCTAACAAGATAAAACCTTTGGATAATAACAGCTCTGCTTCTGCTAGACACCAGAGAAACTTGTGAGAAAGTAAAGAGGAGCCCCAAGTAGGTAGCTGGGACTTTTATCCCCTCTGGGTAGTAAGACTTCCTCCTCCATCCTGTGGTGTCAGCTCAACCCACAGTAAAGGGGCGGCTCTCCACATCCCTTCTGGGAATGTCAGAGGAGGCCGAGGAGAGGCAAGATTTTTATCATTGCCCAGCAGTAATGAGGTCACCTCAATGCAGTAACTATGGAGACCACACAGAAAGCCAAAACTGCCATCTCCATGCATGTGACCCTCAACAGAGGCTAGGGGGAATCTGAACTTCTACCTCCTTTGGCAGTAAGGAGATAGTGTCCCTAACTTTCCCTGCCAGTGCAGTGTTAGAGAAAGCCAGCAAAACCAGAAGATTTAAATTAACACAACATACTATGAATATGTCCAGTTTCAAGTGAAAAATTACTCATTATACCAAGAACCAGGAAGATTTCAAATTGAATGAAAAAAGACAGATATAAGATTCCAATCGTTATTAGAACGATCTGATAAAAACACAGCAAGCATGAAAAACATGCCTGAGATAAATGAAAAAATACTCAGTAAAGAAAAAGAAAATTTTGACAAACAGAACACACACAAAAGAAATGAAAATATTAAAATAAAAAATAAAATAAAAACCGCAGAGTCATGGAAGCAGAGAACAAAGAGCACACAGCTGAAAAGTACTCAAGGAAATGATGGTTGAAAACTCCTCAAATACACCAAAAACTAAAGGAATCCATACCAAACCACATGATAATTAAACTAAGGACAAATAAAAATTTTTGAAGACAGAGAAAAAAAGACACTTACCTGGAGGGGAAAACAATTTGAATAAGAGCTGATTTATTGTCACAAACTACAGTGCCCAGAAGAAAGTGGCACAATATTTTTCAAGTGCTAAAGAAAAAAAAAGAACTATCAATCCAGAATCCTATACTGTGAAAATATCCTTTAGGAATAAAGAAAAAGAATACAGACATTCTCAGAAACTAAGAGAACCTGTTGCCAATAAATCTACCCTAAAGAACCACTAACGGAAATTCTCTAAATAGAAAGAAAATGATAAAAGATGGAACCTTAAAACATTAGGAAGGGGCTGGGGGAGAGAAGCTTTCCTTATTTTAAATTTTCTAAATCATCTTTGGTGGTTAAAACATTTCTTATAACACTGATTTGTTTCTAAATGTATGTAGAGAAAACATGTAAGACAATTATATCATAAATAGGGGTAAAACTAGAAGGTCATAAAAAAAGTGAAGGTTTCTATACTTCATTCAAACTAGTAAAATGATAATACCAGCAGACTATATTGACTTGTCCTATATAATAAAAGGCTAATATGCAAATAGACCGAATGGTGGAACAACTGAACAACCAGTCACTATGACATGCGCTGACCACCAGACCAAGGTGGGATGCCGGGTGCTGTCACTGGGATGAGCCTCTGGTGGTTACGGAAAATTCTTTGCTCCCACGCTCCGCGGTCCCGCCTGGTGCTCGCACCTGCTTCCAGCGCCCCTCAGGGCTCCTCCACCTCCCCTGGTCCTGAATGGCGATTGGTGCCTCTCACACCCACTGCTGGCACCGGCCCTGCTTGCCCCTGAGGCTTCACCACCTCCCCCTGCTCCTAAGGAGCGATGGGGCAGCTGACAGAAAGGGCACTGGGGGCCACGGTGGGGGCATGGAGGATGGGCCAAGACCCACCCCAGTGCCCATTGCAGCCGCGCAGCACATATTTCCTTTCAAGGGGCACAAATTCATGCACTGGGACCCTGGTATATATTTAAAACAAGATCTACAGCAACCACTAAAAAGATATACAAATAGATAACTCAAACACACTACATACAAAACAAAATGGAGATGTAAAAAGATGTTCAAGTAATCCATAGGAAACATGACCCAAGTAGGTACTGTCCATGAGACACTTACTTCAAATACAACAATATAAGTGAGTTGAATGGAAAAAGATATAAATCATACAAATAATAATTAAAGAAGAAGAAGTGGCTACATTAACATAAAATAAAAGGGATTTCAGAGGAAGTAAAATCACCAGAGTACCATTATGTAATGTTAAAAGGTCAATCCCCAAGAAGACATAGCAATTCTGGAAGTGTAGTCACCAAGCAGCAGAGCTGAAAAATATTAGGCAAAAACTAATAGAAGTGAAAGGACAATAGAGAAATCTATAATTATAATCGGAGATTTCACTAATCCTCTCTCAACAATTGATAGAACTAGACAAAAAAGTCCACAGTGTCATTAATCTAATAGACTCTAGGTTAATATATAGGATCAAATAGAGATTTATAGAACATTCTACCCAATAAAAAACAAATACATATTCTTGTCCAGTGCCCAAGGGACAAACACTAGGGTAGATCATATTGTGGATCATAAAACAAATCTTGACAAATTTAAAAGAAGCGAAATCATACAGAATGTATTCTTTAGCCACAATAGAATCATATTAAAAATCAATTACTGAAAGACAATAGGAGAATCTGCAAACACTTTGAAATTCTGAATAAGCCATGAATCAAAGAGAAAGTTTCATGGGAAATTTTAAAATGCACTGAGCTGGAGAACCAAGATGGCAGCATAAAGGTACAGACCTGTGCATACTGTCTCCCACAACAACATTGAAAATACCAACTATAAGACAAAACAGCTATCATTCAGAGCCATGGGAAAGCTGGCCCAGTGGAAGTTCTACAACTGGAAGGAAAGAAGAACACTGAGACTGAGTAGGATATGCAGAGGTGCCAAGAACAGAGGTACAGAGTCATGCGCCAGGTGGGCTGCAATTGGATGTATGGTTTTTTTCAATCGAAAGGGGTTACAAACTCTCAAATCCACTGAGCTTGTTTGGGGCGGGATTCTGAGGTCCCAGACCCCTACTGGGAGAGGCAGGGCGGCCTTGCAGTGGGTCGGAAAGCGAGAGTGGCTTTCTCGTGGAGCTGCTCGCCGGCACTTGGGGATGCGGAGAGGTGAGGAGTCACCGAGAGGTGAGGAGTCGCCATTGCTGTTTGCTCCGCCCTGGTGATTCCCTGAGACCCCGCCCTACTCAATTTACATCCCCACCCAAGCTGTG